TCAAACACTATATGATGTGTAAATATGAAATTCACATCACTATTAACTGTTGAATGAAAAAATATTCCTTCATAAAAATATTTCACGTTAAAAATAATTCAAACTTGCACCAGTCCATGATTCCTCTTAGTGGCTATGCTTTTATCATCACCCAGAGCTCAATGGTAAGTTGGTTTGAGTCAATTTCTTTTTTTCTAGTTGATTTTGGGTCAACCCTAATTTTTTATTTTTTTTTACTGAATTGAAGTCAATTCGAGCCGACTTTAAACTCTGCAGCTTTGCATCATTTATTTAAAAAACAATTAACTTGACCAACGTGTCTGAATTGCTAACGATTTGAACTTTAGCAACGTAGCTTATTTTAAAACAAATATAAGAACCAGGCATGAAATAGCGCTGCTGTGTTCAATTCATAGGAAATTTAATTTTGAAAAACTGAAAAATTTGGTATTAATATGTACTGTTTTCGTTTGTGTTTAAAAATAATTGTAGATACATTTTTGAGGAATTTGACAAGTTTAAAATTTTATTTTAATTACAGTTTAATGCTTTTATGTGTCTAATGTTATTCTTAAATGACAAATATATTTTTTAAATTAATAAAAAATTAATGCTTTTGGTTTTTGTTCAAAAAAGTTTAAGATCTAAGATAGAAGAAGTTTTTATTTATTTACCAAAACAAATGATTCTCCATTTTAAATATCAATATTATGGAAAGTCATCATATAAACAAATAATAATTAGACCAGTGTGTACTCCACTGGATTTTAAGAAAGTAAAAATAAAATAAAAGACAATTTTATCAATTTTATGGCTCAACTTTTAGAATAATTGAGAAATTAGTAATATCTTTGTCATCACTATTATAAGCCTTGACAGAAACCCGATATAACCCATTTGGGAAAATTGTTGTCATTTTTTGTTCAATACTTATGTTGAAAATGTTAATTATGCCTTGAAGTGGACATTCCAACGAAAAGCCATTTTTCTTTAAAACAGGTAAAATAAATACTTTAACTAGAGTGTTAGACTTTCCTTTACCATTACCAACCATTGAGCACCTGAAAGGTTAAAAATTAGCAAAATTCTTGGTTGACTAAAATTAAACAAACCATTCAATTTGTGGAGCTTTAAAAATTTGTCGGAATTTAGAATTTTCTTCTCGGTAAAAATTTGTTATTAGCTAAAAAAGATTCACAATTTTTATAAAACTTTTCTTCAGTTTAAATTTAGATTTCTTACGTTAACCTTGTTTAAAGGCTTAGTAATAACAAATATTCCTGAAAACTTCTTGTTCTCCAGTTTGCATAGTTCTATTTGAACAGATTGGTTAGAGCTTGTACAGTAGTCAATTTTTTCGAATGATGTATATGAATTGACTTTCTCAAATAGAAACATGCTGATTAGAAGAAGTGAATAAACTGTTGAGATTTTCATCTTTTTTTTTAATTTTTACGAAGTTATTAAGTTTCTCAATACCGGCTTAGTAAACATAAAATTTACATTGCCATTTGTACAATGGGCTGTATAAAATGTTTTACCATTTTATTTATTTATTTATAAAAAGATGTGATTTGAAAAAGTAATCAAAAAATTATTAAAACTGCATTAGTCCATGATTTGCATGAAACTAATTATCTTTCAAATGATAGAAATCAAGCTTTTGAGCGTTGCTAATAAATCAAATCATACAAATTTTAAAAATAAAGTTTTTTTAATAGAAACTGAATAACTTCTTATGATGGTTATCTAAATTACTTTTTAATTTCGAAATACAAAAATCGAAATTTGTTTCTTTTGGTTTAAATAATTTTGATATCTGCTTAACTATGAACAGAAAATATTTACATCTAATTTTTATATATGTTTGCAATACTATAATTTCTTTTGCTGATATAAAAATAGAAAATTTAGATCCAATTTTAAGATCTAATAAATCTGCATTACTCTTCATAGCTGAAAATTGTGGAACATATATTCAACTTGATGTCGATTTTTTTCGTCCCTTAAATCCTATGATGGTAAATTTTTATCAATTTGAAAATTCAATTTTTCTAGTTATCTTCTTCTTTTCGTAGGTCAAAGTCGAATTGTACAAAAAAGAAGGTACAAAGTTTCGTCAGCTTTTTAAATCCAATGATATTGACTGGTGTCAAGTGGTATCTAAGAAAGCCTCTAAAACAAATCCTTTGATTCGAACTTTTTTGATGCCCTTGATGGGCAAAGTTCCTTTTCTTACTAAATGTCCTATTCAAGGACGTCATGAATTCAAAATTGAGTTTGAACGGAAAATGCTTATAATGTTTCCAAATGGATCTTATAAATTAAGAATTAAGCTGTATACAACTGAAGATAATAACATTGGGACTGTTACAATGATATTAAAAATTTCTGATGATTAAATAAAATAAATTTGGAATCGTCATTTAATTGAACCATTAACAGCAATAGAACTGAGTAGGGTTTGACTAAAACAATCTCCCTGGCAATACATTTTCATGAATAATGAAGAATCTGCATTTTATATTAGAAAACAATTACAAAAACAAATTTAATTCTCATTAAGCATTTAGTCTCAAAAAAATCTGTTTAAACATTTAAAAGTCATCATTAAGGTTTTTTGTTACTATTCAATAAATATAATGAGCATAAATTGCAATTTACAGTTTATTTTTAGTCAAAATTCTGTGATGAAAGCAATAAGTTGGATTTTAATTTTTTATCAATTTCAAAATTGCTTTGCAATTTTGAAAATCGAGAACTTGGATCCATTAGTTTCGTCAAATAAATCAGCAATATTTTATTTAGCTGAAAATCATGAAACTTTCATCAAGTTTGATATCGATTTTATTACTTCTGTGAAACGAATGATGGTAAAACTCAACTATTCATGTTGATTTTGGATTGATTAAATCCTTTTACAGGTTAAAGTTGATTTCTATAAGAAAGAAGGTTCAAAATTTCGCCAACTTTTCAAATCCAGTGACATTGATTGGTGTCAAATTGTTTCTGGAAAGTCCAAAACAAATCCATTAATTCGTACGTTTCTGATGCCACTGATCAACAAAGTTCCAGTTCTATCAAAGTGTCCAATTCAAGGCCGTCATAATTTTAACGTCGATTTTGACCGAAAAATGTTAATAATGTTCCCAAGTGGAACTTACAAACTGAAAATTGTGGTTTACAACAATGACGATAATAATATTGCAACGTGTATAATGATAATGAAAATTGATGATGTATAATAAAAAATAATTATGAAACATTTTTGATTCATTAATTTAACAACAGTCTAAAAATAAAATAATGATGATTTGAATTTGCGTTCATTAAAGCTTTTTAAAATTATAAGTTTTTTATTTATTTAAATAAAAGTATAATGAGGCTTGAGCAATGAACAAAAGAATTCAGTTGATATATCTAATATTCAATATTTTCTATATCTTTGGTTATGTTGAAATCGAAGATGTTGAACCTGTTTCAACTACGAACAAATCCGTTATTATTTCTAAAGCTGAAAATTATGGAAAACTTGTCCAATATGAAATGGAGATTATAAGAAAATTAAATCAATTTATTGTGAGTAGAATTTTTTTAAATCTTTAATATTATTTAATATATTACAAAATAAAAACTTTTTTAGTTACAATTGGAATTTTTTAAGAAAGATAAATCAGCATTTCGCCAGATATTCAAAACTCAAGATCTTGATTGGTGTAAAGTTGTATCTGGAAAAGGATCAAAAACAAATCCACTAATTCGAACTTTTCTTAAACCTCTTGTTAAAAATATTCCGTTCTTTTCACGATGTCCACTTTATGGAAAAGTCAATTTCAATTTATCCTTTGATCGGAAGATGTTGATAATGTTTCCTGTTGGAGTATACAAGTTGAGGTTCCATGTTTATAGAGATGATGATGAGAATTGTGGAACTAGTGCGATGACTATTAAAATTAATGAATGATAATTTTACAGAAATTTATGAAACGAAAATAGTTCACAAAAAATCGAGAAAAATAATTAAAAATTAAATAGGAAATTATTTTAATTAAAAACCTTAACATTCATTCATGAATTTAGTTTTTATTACAAATACGACTAATTTTAGAAATGAAGCATCATATGATTTAATAAAGACGTAAAATCAAATTATTTGAAAACATAGTTTTGCTAAATCATTGAGCAACTTTAATATAAAAGCTTTAGACCTGACATTGTGATGTTAATTAAATTGACAAATTTTATATTTTTGATCATTTTTGCATGTAATGTAGTTGCAGATTTTAATATTAAAATTCAAAGTATGGACAATTGCTCAAGCAGCCAACGAACATTTTACATACACGAATGTTCATTTAATGAGTGCTGCATAAATTTTACCGGAAATGTTTTTAGACCTTTGCACAAAATTCAGGTAACTGCTGCACAAAATTTTAATATTTTGAGTATTGTTTTCATTTGATATCATCAGGTTCAACTAAATATGATGAGGAATGAAAAAAATCGTTACCGCAGTGTCTTTAAAGTCCCTCCAACGGAACGGTGCTCGATTGTTTCAAACAGATTAATACCAAATGCATTAGTTCATTAGTTAAAGCATTTCTATATATTGTACGCGAGTGCTTTCCAAAAAATATCCAGCAATGTCCAATTGATGGAAAAAAATGAGCTTATGACGATGAAGATGACAATATTATTTCTATTGCTATTACTGTAAGAGTTGAAGCATAAGATTGATTGATGGACTGCGAATAATTGGTAATAACTTGAATTTTTGATTGAAGATTTTCGTTGAAATGACATTTTAATTATTAAATATTTTGTTTAATTTGGTTCAACCCTAATGTAAATTTAATCATATCTTAGAAATTGGATCAGATAAAATAAAAATTGTTTAAAAAATATTATTAATGTATTTTTTTAAATATTTTCGTTCGTTAACTGCTAACTCATCAAGTTTTAACTACAAATGCTAAAATCAGTGAATTTTTCTATTAATGATGTTTTTAAAATTGTTATTTTTAACTTTCTTGCGTGTCGTATTAGTATCCTCAATTGCTCAAGTCATAAAAATTGAAAACTGTACAAGTGTAAAGCAAAAATGTGTACTTGATCGATGCAAGGTCCATGATGAGTATGTAGACTTTGTGTTTTTAATTAAAGAACCACTCATTTCATTATTTGTGAGTTTAAAAATAGACACAAAAAATTAAAACTCTTTAGCTAACCTTAACATTTTTAGTTTGAAACAACTCTATTAAAATTGGAAGAGGGAAAAGCACGACAAATCTTTAAAACTCCGAAATTTGATTGGTGTGGTGGATTAGGGTAAGGATGTTTGAATATTTGGATTTAAAATAATTTTAAAAATTTCTGAATTCAATTTAAAGTAAGGCAATCCGTACTGCAAGTCCAATTCTGAAAGTATTTTTCTCATCAAACTTTGAGAAATTCCCAGAAGCCATGCTTAAATGTCCAATAAAAGGAACAATCAACATTTTTAATATTTCAACAATGACTTCATTTTTTGACTTCTTACCATCTGGTATTTATAGGATGCGTGCATTGGTTTTTGAAAAAATCAACGATCCGTTTTTTATATTTTCATTCCAAGTTAAAATTTCTAATTAATGTGCTTAATTATTATTTAATAAAGATCGTTCATATAATGGCCGTTTAACGATGTAGATGTCATTATCATTAAATCGGAAATTTTCAGGAAATTCGAGTTTACTCATTTTGGTGCGAAAATCTTCGTGGAATGACCTAAATTGATAAAATTTCATAAAGTCAAATAGTGAAATTAAAACTTAATAGAAAAAGTGCTTACATTATGAATACTGGATGTTCAGCTCTTTTAAGGAAATTAGTTTTCTTTATTTTGTTTTTATATTTCATATATTTATTGTAGATTCCCTTGATTAAGTAATAAATCAGCTCAACAATTGATAAAATTGAACATCCCATAAAGAGACCAAGTAAACCTCCAGTATCTGCGATGAAGTTTTGTAATTTATAACCTACAAAAAAGTCCTGTTCTTCAATTAAAATATCATTGAATTTAATGCCAATTTCAGCATAAAGAGCACTAAAAAAATAACAAGAGTCAAATTTTAGTCAAAAAATGTCAAATTATCCAACCTTTTAGAAATGTTCTTAATCTTCGATTCAAAATCTCCAGTTCTATCAAGTTTCACGCTATATGATATATCATTACATGGCTGAAAACAATCACATGGCATTAAGGTTTTTGCATCTTGTTTATCAGCATATGGCCACTGATGAAGGGCTTCGTTGTAGCAGGAAATTTTTGTTAAATTACAAATTGGTGTATTGCTATCTCGAGGCATTGAAAACTTCACACATTCACATTTTTTAAGAGTAAATGTAGTGAGGCATTCAAGAAGACAATGAGTTTTAGAATATGATTTAAAAAATTTCAATTTTCGTTCATTTTCAAAATAACACTCTCGTTTTTCAGGTGCATAAATTCGAAGTTCTTCACTAAAATGACTGAATTTTGCTTCAATTGTCAGTTGCCGTTCTTGGTTGAAAGGAATGAAATACTCATTATGTGGAAATGATGCTATTTCATTTGGACTATGTAATATCAATCTGAATCCTCTTCCGTATCGTAGACAAATGTTTGGTAAGTCAATTATATTAACTTTTGGGTAGAAAGTCACAACACCATTTTTAGCTGCCCTAACTGGGAAAACCTCATCACTTTCTGATTCATATCCATTAAAAATTGTCCAATAAAGTTTTTCAGGTTTATCATCATTTACTGTTTCATTTTGTTTTGGTCCAACTAATGCTTTTGCTATTTTCATTCTTTTGTAAAGATCAAAATCTTTTGAAATTGTTTCTTTTCTGAAAATTGTATTATAGCCTTGAATGTTATAAGTGTAACAAAGACCAGTGTCAAATAAAATCCGGTTCATCATTTTTTCACAATTTACTTCCATTCTGTCATAGAAACATGCTCCAAATGCTTCATTTACTGTTGAAGATGTGAGCAATAAATGTTCAATGAATTTCTCACTGCTAGCTTTCGGTAATAATCTTGATATTCGAGATGATACGAATGGATTACAAGCTTGTGCAGCAGCTCCAATGATGCTTTGATCTTCTGGTAAAAGTAATCTGCTGATTGAAAAATCTGAAAATAAATTCGAAACAAATACAATTATAGGAACTTAAAGATTGTACTATTCCGTTTAAGAACGTTTTACATACTTCGAATATCAACAAATGAACTCATTTTTATTGAATTTGACTTTGCAAAAAGTGGTAAGCAAATTGTGACAGCTGGAAATGGAATTTCTCGAATTGACTTCAACTTAATTTTAAGTGCGATGTCTGGATTTCGGATCCATTTCAAATATACACCATTTGCATAAAAACAAAATCCTGCAATTGACATTAAAAATGAAACAGTCCAAAACATTCTGATAAATTTGTTGTTGTTTTTGTCTGCAATAAATTTGATTCCGTGAATAGAGCTGTCTTTTGAAAAAGATTCAACTGTGATATTTTCAATCATTTTTTGCACTTGAAATTTTATTTCGTGCGCTTGACTTAAATAGTTCAATTATGACTGAAAAAAATATAAACTTTTACTAACGCAAGTGCAATTAAAACTTGCTTAATACACATTAGATATTAATTAAATATTTATATCCAGCAATTAGAAGAAAGTAAAAGTTAAATTCACTCTGGATTTCATAAGTTATCTTTTCAAGGTAATCGAATGTAAATTTTACATAGAATATTCAAAACTTCAACATGCGTCACCATAATCTTTAAAATTTGAATTGAATTCTCGAAAATCCTCAAAAATTCATTTACAATCAAAATCGAAAAATAATTGAATTTTCAGCTTTAGAAAAATTTTCCATTAAGATTTTTGCCATTCATCACAAAAGAAGGAAGATTTTTTCTCATTTTTCTTTTCATGTTTGAGCACCTTTTGTGTTGTGTTAAGTAACAATAATTCCATACAGAAACAGAAGCATTGAAACCACAATACACCACAAAAGTAGGATTATGTCTTGTAATCAAAAACAAATCCATCAAAAGAGCTGAGAAAATGATGAATAGGAATTGCGGGAATGAAATGGAAATGGTTTAAATGGGGAAAAAAGAAATAGAAAATATGCAATTTATTATTCACAAACAATCGCTTCATTGTGCTCGGTTCACCCCCTCGTCTAATTACGAAAATGTGAGAGGTGATACATGAAATGCGAGCAAAGTGGGAAGAGTTCATAACCCTTAGCTGATAAACAAAAGAATTGCAATAAAGGGTTGAAGAATTCCCAGTAGACATGCGACAATAAACAACAACAAAAACATTGTTTTATGTTCTCTTTTGGAAATGGAAATTTGGTCTTGTTTAGGTTTATAAATAATTAATTTGTTGTACTTTAGGATCAAGTTTTTATTGCCGATGAATCGTGGTCTTAATATGAATTAGAACTGTGATGATAAATTGGAAATAATTATTCAAATTAAAATGATTTTTAAAGTTTTTTAATAAAGTGATGCTGCTTTTAATTTGATGTTGCACAGATCTATGTTCATATCCCAGGAGAATATTCCGGACTCCCCAACATTGTCCAATCTCCATCATAGTAAGTTTTTGATTAGCTAAGAAAATTTTCTTATTAAAAATCATTAACCTCCATTCTCCCAGTTTCTAAGTAATTAAATGATTATCATTAACATTGTCATTCAAATATGTTGCTACTGTGTAATGTAATGAATACATCAGCAAATCCCTCCGTCTCCTCTCCCGCATTTAATCATTATGATCATTATTATTATTATTGTTTCTCTTACAAATGAGAATTTGTTTATCTTGTCATATTTATCTTCCTTTTATGTTCTTCTGCTTTTATTCGTGCTCCTTTTTATACATAAAATAATATGTAATAACATTTTTAGCTCTCTATAAACACAAACTGTGATATGTTAATTGCGAAGGGTTTAAAGACTTTTTTTTCCTTTTGATGACGTAGACTTGAATTTTCGAGGCTTTATTTTTGTGTCCTTTGTGGTCTACTGAGATGGAAAAATTATTCAAATATTGTTATTGTAAATATTATTGTTGTGTCTTTTGAGTATTTGCTTACTGCTTTAGTTTATATTTTAGATTATTTTTTTGTACAGTATTAAATACAGTCAAGAGTAACTTATGAATCAAATTGCCGACATCAGTAAGGTCTTAAAGGTTTTCGGCTAAAATATTGCTACCACATCAAATAATCACACGCCTGTCACCACATAAATAATCTATATAGAATTCCATGTCATGTAAAATCTAATTTCATCAAATAAGATTTTCATAACTTAAAGGTTGATTTTGACAAATTCGATTTAAATTGATACATTTATGTCACATTATCATATTCAGAGCTGTTCTTTCTTTATATTTTTTGCTTCTATTTTTGTTTGCAGGGGTGACTTAGTAGAGAAAAAATTTTTTTTGAGAAAATTTATCGATTCAAAAAAAAGTTCACTCATATGACAACCGCCTCAATAATAAGACCATATATAAAAGAATTCTGTAAGTAAAGCCAACAAGACGCAACAACAAAGGAAAGATAAATAAATTTTTAAATTACCCATGGGAATTTTGCTCATGTCGCTTCAAGTCACTTTCAAATATCATTTTCACTGCAATTTAATTCTTGTACGAATCTTTTCTATAATTGTGTTAGTGATGATTTTTTACTGTCATTTTTCTAGGGTCAATAGCAACATGATGACAAATAAAAATTAAAGGGAGATGATGACTACAAATTGGTAATGAATAGGCAATTTGAGCAGCAATTGTTTGTAAGACTTCTGTGATGCTCATCATTAACAATGTAATTTTGTTAATATTAAATCATATTTTTGTTCAAGCAAATTTTTTATAAAGTTTTGCAAGAATTTGCAATGACAAAAGGTTTTGCGATTATTTTTGAACCTTTGAATGTTTCAGATGATTTTAAATCTCAGATCAATAATATTCAAAGAATACAAGAATCGATTTCATAAACAGGTGCAGTAAATCATATTCAATTAGATTCATATTAATCCTTTAATGAACAATTTTCAGCAATATCAATTTTCCCATAATTTTTCATATTTCTCGTTATTATCCTTCATAATAATCCATTAAATTAATTGTTTCGCTGTAAATTTCCTCAACAGTCTCAATTAGCCGTGTCTCATAAAAAATTCATAAAGCAACAAATGTCACATTAGTGAAATGAAAGGAGAAAGTGAAAAGAGGGAAAATGAATGAATAAAAAGGAAAAATTTGAAGCAGATTTAAATAATTTTGTTGAAAAATTGAAGGAAATTTAAATTCAATTGGCAGTTGTATTTATATTTTTAATTTGAATATTTTTTTTATTTTCAACAACAATTATTTATGTCAAATTATGCAAATATTATTTTTGATTTATTTATAATAAAAAGGGTGGAACATCTTTTTGATTACAGGGGTTGGGGATCAAATTAAAAAAAAAATATTCGTGAATTTTTCTAATCGAAGTCATACTTATTCTGATTTGTTTAACAAATTTTGCTTATTTGTTCAAGAATACAGTTTAGGCACTGTTTTAGGAGGCTTTTCCTTTAGACCAAGAAAAATAATGAATAAATTCAAATACACAAAATATATGGACTTTAATCCAAATGTAGAGTTAAATAAATATTTTTATCATTTTTTGCCCTCATTAAAAATTCAACAAGTTGAACAATAAAAACAGCATGCGACTGCTCAGCACACACAGCACAACAAAAAATGACCGTAACTTCCCCTTCATTCAACATTGACAACATCAATATTTCCATTTTTCCTTCTTTTGTAGAATATTCAGGGCGAATTGCTTACTGCTGTGATATGAAAAAAGCAATTTATCATTCCATCATGTGTCGAGTTTTGTGTTTTTCCTCTTGCTTTTTTATTTTTTTCTTTCTTTTCATATCCAAACCTCAAAGAGGAGATGAAAATTTTCCTCAAAGGACTTCTTTTGTTGCGAATTTTTTATTTATTTGTTTCGTGTGCTGCTGTTTTTTTTATGTGATGACAAAAAGTCTCGTTGATGGAAATAAAATTTGACAAGAATGAATTTTTGATTCAAAATTGACGTTGCGTTGTCTTTTCTCTAATATTGTGAATTTTCAGGCAAATTTTAAAGAGTTTAAATGTTTAAATTCTTTTAAATAGAAGGATACTCACAATCAAAGTCACACAGTCGAAATCATAAATTCAACTAAAGTAAAACACGAAAAAAACAGAAAACGAGAAAATAAACATTTTAATAATGAAAAGTAAATCAAAGCTCGAGTACACAATGAATTAAAATGAAACATTGAAATGAGAGCAAAAAATTATCAAAGTAAAATCACAAAATAAAATCTTCTTTTTTCATTTTAAAATGAGAATCTGGAAAAAGCTACAGAAAACAAAATAAAGCGCAGATTGGCAAAAAATGATACAAAATGAGTGTAAATAAAGAAAATTGGAAAATCGAAATTCATCAAAGGAAAAATTTTGTTGAGAGAAAAAATTAATTTTTGTACTCAAAGAGGAAGTGAAATGAAATCAAATGAGATTTTGTGTGATTTTGTTTTTCCTGTTTTGTTTGTTTGTTTGATGAAGAATTAAGAAAGAAATTGCAGGAGATGTGTAGACGGAAATATTTATAGTAAATGTAAATGTAATGAAATCATAATAAAGCGAATAAGAAGTCTAGTCAATAATGATAATGAAATCTGATGATAAAGTTAACGAGATACAAAGATTAGTATGAGAAACATATATGATTAGTATAACCGCAAAAATGCAAAATTTCAGGATTAAAAAAAATTCAATAATCCATATGGACCCATATTCTTTTGATGTATTCAATTGTACAGGAAAATATTTCTATTAAAATAATGAACATATTGAAAATTTCAAAGCCATAAATATCCTTTCTTTTCCTCCTTTATTCACATCCACAGTTTTTTTTTCAATTTACTTCAAACATGTTTGAACTTAAACCATTCAATATTCAGAGAGTACCAATACCTTAATAATGGAACATATTCATTTCAATACACAAGCAACCATCACCGCATAGTATTGAATTGAAAAAAAAGCATTTGAAAAATGAAAAAAAAAATCAACAATTCCATTTTCAGTTCTTCATCAATTATTAACGAAGAGGTTTTCTTTTTCGACTTTAGAAGCGGCAGCAAAAAGGGCAAAAAATATTTGAAATGCCATCAATTTATTTGTTCGATCACAACAAAACCGCTGCAGCAGTAACAAGAGCAGCTATAATCCCATAAGTGGGCAAATAAAATTGAGAGAAGTGGAATAATAAAAAATAAATAAGGGCAATAAAAAATTTCTGGCTTCGTTTTCTTCCAATTTCACAAAGTGACCAATAAATTTTTTTTCTC